CTCGTAACTTTTCTAAACTTTTCCAACAAATTCCAACAAATGTCCAACAACGTCCAACAAGTCCGAGTAGGAATTGTTGGAATGTTTTTGAAAAGTTTTGAGTACTTTGTAGTGCCAACTTCACGTACCTCGAATCACCTCATGATGAGATGAATGGTGGTGTTTTTATTTTGCATGTTTTTGCATATTTTGGATAAAATGCATATTAATGCATATATTGAATAAAATAAATATTATTGCACATTTCGATTATAAGAATGCGAAAAATGCATGTTTTATAGTATATTTCGTAATCGTAATTAATATTTATAATTCAATATTAATATTKTTTGTAATCGCTTTGCTATAATTATTTTTTAATAATTTAATAAAATGCAAATTAAAAAAAAAAAGATATTAATATTTCATATTTAATTCTAGCTCTACTGATTAAAGTATAAAACTTGGTTTTTTTGTCAAACACAAATTTTATTTTTATAAATACAATCCCATGGTACCTACAATAGGTACGCGATTAAAGATTGTATAGTTTGACGGAGAAAGATAAACACAATTAATAAAAGTATGTCGGTCAATATAAAATCTAAGATAGAAATTAAAATGCATATTTTTGCATATTTTGGTAAATGATATGCATATTTTACAATTTTTTATTGCATAAAAATCTTAGCCCTGATTATAACACTATTTAAAAAAATTATTATTATTCTATAAGCGGATAGATATACCTATTTAAATGTTAAAATTCGCAAAATAGGCAATAGCCCAAATAAAACCCCTAAAAAAGTGGGTGTGTGCGGTATCTATTTGTAGATGACATTTTGGACGATGCACGAGTACGCCTAACCAGTTTTATTTCTTCAACAATAATAATTAAATGTCTCTCTTACCGTCGTCATTTGGAAATAAAAGTCATGTGTCTCTGATCGAAAACCATATTTATTTGTTAAGATTGTCATAACGCAGACATTTTTTTCATAAACAATTGAATGCAGTGAATAACTTAAAAGATTACAATACTGTAGTTTTACCGTATGATTTATAATTTACGTATAGGTATTTTTTGCTTTGCATAAGTATGTGAGTATTGTGAGTTATCTCCACTAGAGCACGTAGTCTATAGGTACATGAGCACCCAAGTACAGAAAAATTAATTTTGAACATTTTTCAAATATTAAGCCGCTGCTCGCCATCTTAAGGAAAAAACTATACCAACTATACTGATACCAACGATGACAAACCTATTAAAATTTTTAATATTTCTATAAATCCACGATTATATATTATATATAGGTATAAAAATAAAATACCGCCCACTCACTATGTAGTATGTACCACATCTTTCAATATTTATAAATAATTTTCGTCTATATAGGTACTAATTGTACTATTATATAAAAAAAAAACTACGATGGGATTCTGTGAGTATTACATTTTTAAACTTTTTAACTGAGAAAAACAATTTTTACTAGCATAGTAACATATATGTACCTAAATATTACGGTTAGGGTATAGTCCTAATCCTAAATATACGGAC